ATAATGAAAAAGAAAGTATTTCAAAGTTATTTGTTAAATACTTTGTCATGTGTCTGAATGCTTTAAAATAACTCAAAATTAATTTATAAGTATCATAACACCATAAACTACAATCTGTAAAACAAATAACTTCTTGAGAAAAGATATGTTAATCTCTATAACAGGAAGACTTACAGCAAACAGGTAGTGAATGTACTCACTTTGAAATTCCTACTGCTTTGCTGTGGGCCATCTTCACCCTGGTTGGCACATTCATTAAATCAATGTGTGTAGTTAGCTATGGACACCTAAGAGTTATATCCTTAAAGAATAGGTCACCCAAGTAGAAAACCTAACAGGTGTGTAAGGAAAAGAAAATCCATGTCTGTAAATTCCAGTTATGCACAGCAAAACTACTTAGAACAGAGTTTTCCGAATCCTTGTCTAGTTTTTAAAATATGTGATATTTATAATAGTAAACTTTGGTCAGGAAAAAAGAAAATACTAGATAGCATATAACAATATTGTTTATTTTCTTAGGCATCGTAGTATTCTTTTCTTCTAAATTATCCAGAATCTTGGGGATTACTCTAGATCACCTGGGAAATCTGAGTACTGTTGTTGAATAATATTTAAAGTCTATTGGTTTCAGATATATCTATGTACAACTACAAAAGTTCACATATTCCACTCTGCGGTAAACCAAACCATAGTAACTTGACCTTTATTTTGTCATCTATCAATGGAATGAATGAATATATATATATATATATATATATATATATATATATATATATATATATGACTTTAAAAGTAGAGTTCCCTAAATGAGTTCAGATAATTGGGTGCATGTTCTAACAATCTTACGCATTTTAAGCCTCCAAACTGGACACACATGGGAAAAACAGTGAAATTTTGGCTCTCCCATTTTCTCTCCCATACTCATCACTGTCAACTCTTGGCCACTCTATTTTCCATAATGCTCTTCTGTGGACCCCTCTCTGACACATTAACTGCCATCTCTGTAGTGCTATAACAAGTAACAGCTGACTGTTCCAGAGCAGCTTTTGTTGTATAGAAATAAGCTAGACTATAGAGTTAAGTTTATGTATTTACAGAAAACAAAAAACAAAACCTTAGAAGAGTTAGTACCTATAGATGGTATTTTCTGGCTTCCTCTTTGCTAGAAAGCTGTATCAATATGATCTTGGAAATGGGAAACAATGCTTGCAGTAGGTATTGTTGGCCATTTCAACATTTACTTTCTATTCTTGACTGCTTTCCATGCATTCCTTTTTTCTAGCAAATGTTTGGATAAATAATTGAATTTCCCACTTCCCTTTGCCCAGGTAGGCCTGAGGACATGCTTTCTATTTACTGTGTTTTAATTCACAGCCTTATAGAATGACACAAAACACAGCTCCAGCCCTGTGGGTGGACTGCAGATGTTTTAGAGAAATGTAGGGTTTCTTTTCCTCTTTTAGTAGGAAGTCATGCTGTGGGCCATTATTTTCTGCACATCCTCAAATGTGATTATGATTAACAGAAGTGAAAAGGAGGAATAGGGAAAGTAAAACAAGAACAAAAAGGCTGAATGTGAAATGCTATGATTAGTAAAGTTTTGAGGCTGAATAACATAAATATTAGGGTGTAGTGATGCATGACTTTAATCGAGACTCAAGAGGCAGACAAGTGGATCTTTGCAAGTTCAAGGCCAACCTGTGCCAGACTGGTCTAGATATATAGTGATTTCCGGAACAGCAGTGCTATGTACCCATCTACCTATCTATTTATCTAACTTCATCGTCATCATCATCTATTTTGCTTGGGCCAAAGAAAGTTTATTCTAAGTAGTTTGTTTATAGAAAGCATTTGACCATATTTTTAAATTTAGAATACTTTCTTTTTCTAGCTTTTTAAATGAAGGCTTTTTGGTGCCACTTTATTTTTAAAACACTAAAAAAGAAGACTATCTCCAACTTGAAATTCATTGCACATTCCTTTGACCATTCCCCAGGGACTCGATATTCTGCTTTGATTTCTTTCCCACTTCTCTCCTGAAAGGGTTTTCTAAGGAGGTAAAACCACTGAAACTTTCTGTCCTTTTGCCTTTTGTTGATACAGAATAACTATTGAGAGTTATCAAGCACTTATAAATCATGTGTTTTTTCCAAGTAAAAGTTAATATTTTCCATGCATTAAACTGAATTTAAACTCTCTTGCAGAACTGATGACACGCAAAACATTCTGTAATGCTTCACTAATTTACTTTCCAATTAAAAAGACTTTGCTTAAATGAATGTTAGACACTGACATTTTTACTTCTTCCTCAGATTTTAGGTCATAATGCAGCCATTTTTATCATCAGTCCTTTTGATGTGTAAACATTTTAGCATAAATGACAGATTTTGGAAATTTAGGGAACATTTATTAAAAGTAATGAGATATAATATGGGCTTTATAGAACAATGCAATTGAGATGAGAAAACACTATGAAAGGATATGGTTAATCCAGTAGAAGCATAATGTAAGCTATGGGAGTATAATATATGCTTTGATTTTAGAGTATGTATGCATATATATATACTTAAAGAAACTCATTTTAAAAATTTTCATTTAGAAGTCTGTGTTGACAAAAAGAATTCACAACTAAGCCTCAATACAGAGAATTAAAAGTTTAGACTTGTAGTTGAAAACCACCTGCCCTTCAAAATAAGAGTTGCAGAAAAAACTTCTTCCTACCGTAGCTTCAGATACTACAGAGCACAGTATTTTATCAGAGATCTGGCTCAAAGACCAAGGAAATTAATAATAAAACCTGACTTACTTTCTCAAGAACTTTATTACATTCTTTTTACTCTATAAGCCTTTTGTCATGAAAAAAATATAAGACATTGAAAATCATTTACCATGGTAGGAAGACTGGAGTATTAATGAAATAATTGATAGAATATATTACAATGATATTTTAATAAAGTAAGCCGATTATGACACGAACAATTATGTATATAATAATTATCGAATTATCTTGTTGTATTCCTCATGCTGGAGAAGATCAGCCTAAGACTCATTAAAAATTGAAAAGAATGATGGATTTGACTCTTTGGGTGTCTAACTTGGGAAAGAAAAGGTATCTGCAGTTGTAAAATATCCCTCAGAACTGTAGCTCCCCTGCATCCCCTGTAGATCCCCTGCATCCCACTCCATCCCTCATTCCTGCAGCTCTGGTGCCAAGCTCTCCGCCTAGCACAAAACAAACTAAGTTAAGTCGCTCTGGGGTGCCTTTGTGAGGCCACTCAGAGTAGGAAGAAGGAAACAAAGGGCGAGAAAGAGAGGCTGAGGACATAAAGAAAACAAATAAGGCGTAAAAAGGAAGAGATAAAGGGGAAGGGAAGGCTAAACCACTGGGCCAAACACCATAAAATCACAAACCCATTTGTGATCTGGCCAGCAATCACCCTCACCATCATCATCTCTTTGTTTGTGGAGGTTGCCTTTAGAAAATCAATTCCAAAATGAGTAGCGATCTATCCTTCTATAAACCCTTGGGTCCCCGAGGGAGGAGGGAGGGGTGATTAAAAATCTTACAGCCATATGAATCATTACAGACTTTCGCCTTAGCTGAAGGGTCTTTTTTTTTTTTTTTTTCTCGTCATGAATTGTAGTCTCAGACTTCACGTCAAAAGTGCTATCATATCCTTTTCGAGGCAGCTGAAGAATTTGTGCTGCTTCATGAAGCCTTTCGAGCAGCGGCCCACCAAATCTATCCTCCAAGGTGGCCTGAGCCAGGCAGGGCAGGTATAACTGAAGACCTTTTTGTTTTGTTATTTCTAGAAGACCCACGCAAGTCCTGCCACTGCTTCTCCCCAGGACGGAGGTAAAACCACCTCTTCCTCCATGTTTCAGATGGATTTTTGCAGAGTGCCACCTGTTTCTGGTGTTAACAAAGTGTTCACACAAAGTGAATTCACCCTGCAACAACGTTGTCCAGGAAAGCCATCCAGTAGTTAGGGTGGGGAGTTTGCTAGGATGTTACCAAAGATCCTTGCCACAGTAACCGCCCTGGAAGCAGTATTCATCCTTCTACCCTTCATTCCTACCTCACAGTAGGAAAGATCTCTCACAGTTTGTTCTTCAAGTATTCCCAGCCCTCCCCCGAGGCTCTATCTCCGCCAGGTAAACCTAGTCTAGTTGTATCTGGGCATAGGACCAGGGGCATTATTAGTACCCAACTCTGTCAAAAGGCTGTAACCGCTGGCATACCATGAGAAACAGTGCCACCTGGTAGAGTCGACAGAGGCGCTTTCAAAGGTACCACAAACCCCTACATTTGTTGTCAAATCACTTCATTATTCCTAGGCAGGCAGTAGATGCTACGCCTTGGAGAAGGGCTTGGGGGCCCCTGCCAGATAGTGCAAAAAATAACCCGGGAGGGGGCGAGCCAAGTGCTCTGCCAGAGCCTGAGCGCCGGTGGATGCCGGCGGGCAGCCAGTGGTCCCCTGGGGAGCTCCATCGGGCCCGGTCGGCTCGGCCTCGGCTCGCCCTACGGCGGGAGCAGGCGACGCCGACTTTGGGAGTTCCTCTCTGCCTTGTATGGAGGGCTGCGCCTGGTCCGTCCCCGCCCGGCTCTGACGCCCGGCCCTCCCGCTGCCCACCCACAACCGCCGCTTCCCCGAGACCCGCCCGGGGAAGGCAGCCCCAGCCCGGCTCCGGCCACCCCCATCCCCGCAGCAGCCGCGTCCCCGCGCCGCCCCCTCCGCCCCCGCCCCGTCCCCGCCCTCGCTCGCCTCGGCGACCGTGGATAAATCAGGGAGGCGAGCGAGGGGAGGCAGAACGCGCGGGCGCCGGCAGCAGGCTGGCCGAGCTCCGTTTGCACAGTCGCCCTTGATGGCGGCGCAAGCGAGGCAGCCGAGGCACGGAGCTGCCACCACGCGCTAGAGAGTCCGCCCGGCCCCGCCCGTGCCCTGCCCGCCTCTCCCCGCGCGCCCTCCCTTAGGCGTCGGCGCCCGGCCTCGGTCCCCCGGCCCCCCGCGTGCAACCCTGCCGCCTCTGGGCCGCTAAGGAGGGCACTGATCTTCGATCGCGAAGATGGCTGCTGGCTGCCTGCTGGCCTTGGCTCTAACACTTTTCCAATCTTGGCTGATCGGCCCCTCGTGCGAGGAGCCCTTCCCTTCGGCCGTCACGTAAGTCGGCGGCGGGCCCGGGCAGGGACTGGAGGCGGGGGTCCCGGTTCGGCGCCGGGCTGCCCGTAGGGGGGGACGGGGAGCGCGGATGGGAGCCACGGAGGCCCGGAGGGCGAGCGGGCGAGCCGTGAGCTTGCTGGCCGCTGGAATGAGCTCGGCACCGGCGTGCGAGCCTCGGCTGGCCGCCCTGTCCCGGGGACTGTCCGCCAGCCGTCGGCGGCGTCTCAGGCGGGTCTCCGAGGATGCTCCTCGCTGAAGCCTGTAGCTGGACTTGGGGAAAAACTTTGCAGGCATACCCAGCTCCCACCGAAGCTGGGCAGACGAAAAGTTATGTTTCCGTTATGTATTTCACAGAGTTAATTTCAGACTGGCCGGGTAACGTGCGCTTCTCCTGTACTTGGTCTCTAGGATGCTAATTGCTGTGCTGCCCAAACACATTTATATCCGAAATTACTAGGAGCGCCAGACCTGACAGATTCCCTGGTTTCTAGCCAGCTCATTCCCAGTAGCTGAGCGTGCTGTCCACCCCAAAGCTCACAGGTACCAGGGCCACCAAAGACAACCTACTCAACCCTTTATTTGAAGCATCTAAATGCCCACAGACACTCGGTTCCTGTTCTTAGAATGAATAGAACCTCTATTCTTTGAGGGAGGAACTGTTTCCACAGTCTCCTGCAATTTTCTCTTATTTTTAACCTTTCTAAAATAACTTAAAAAAAAAAAACGTTACTATTCTGGAAATAGAGTGTTGAAAGGTAGCTATAGTCACAGGGCGAAAGGGAACGCAATGCAACCATTCTCCGCTCTCTCAGGCTGCAAGAAGGAATCAGAGTCAGTGGCACATATAAATATACACATTAAAAAAAAAAAAAACCGCTGAACAGCTTATCTGGCATTCTGGGAAAGCATTTATTTTGGTTCTTGAAGGTACTTTAGAGCTTCTCAGAGTAGGTAGTCTTAAGTGGGTGAGTCACTTTAATGCATTTTACATAACAAAAACAAAGCCCAAGGTAGTCTTCCTGGCTTTTATGCTGCAGGGATCACTTGCTGTCCTTTGTTGGCAGAGAGCACAATCCTAGAGTTTTAGGGTTACACTACAAGTGCATCCATACTGGCTGGAACCCGACAGCTATTATTTAAGATTTGGCCTAGAACATTTATTACCTTAGATGTCAGTACAAGCATCTAGAGATGCATATTCCAGCCCGGAGAAATGGGTGTCCAATATTTTTGTCATTGATTTACAGTAATGTTCTCTTTAGGTAATCTTCCATAAAAATTATAGCAGATCTTTTTTGTTATGAAGCAAAAGGGTAAATGCCATCTGTAGAGCTTCGTTTAGTTGGCAGGATGTTCCAACTGTTTAATTTTAAGCATGAAAAAATCTAAGAATTCCCAAGATGCTACAAAATGATTTATTTAGTCTTATTAAGAAATCGTACTTTTGCTTGCTGATATTTTTAATATCTTTGAATCTTGGCCTGTTACATAAGAACTCGGGTGACACTCAGGTGTTTTGTGTCAAACAAGTTGTGGCTTTGAAGAATTCACATTCTTTAGTGTTGTTTTAAGCTGATTTGCCAATATTTCTATCATTTGGGGATGTTGCTTTCTCACATTAAGGAAAACAAAATGCAAAAATAAATAAATGAAATAAAATAAAACCCCATTCAGTCTTGAGCATGTCATAGTAAAATATTAATATAAAAATCCTTGTTAGAAGAACATATACAATAAATGCTTTTCAAAAATTAACTCCATTTTCCTAACCAGATTGTGCTAAAGATGTGGACAAGATCATATGTGATTTTAAGATGGGAATTAGGGAACCATGATTTTTTTCCTTTGAAAGGATTTAAATTGTTTTCAAACAATGGGAGTCTAAGAATATTTCCATATTATGTGAAACATTATTATGGACTCAGAACAGGCTTTGTGGCTCAAAGTCAGTAGATTGAGGGTAGTAAAACAATGCAGCTATTTCTCTCTGAATTAGTAATTCTAGCTTCTGAGGAAGGATAGGTGACATTTGTACTTCATGTTAGATTTCAGAATAAAGTCTGTGAGAAAATATGTGGCATCAATCTCATCAAGAAACAGTGTCATTTGCTTTGCTTGCTTGACACAAAAATTAAAGGCAGTGTTTATCAAGATAAAGCTCAGATCCTCTGGGAAAGAAATCAAGTTCATAAGAAGGTAATCCAAAGATTGTAAAGGCAAATAATGATGCTTCTACTTATAAATTTCTTATGTTTGCAGTTTTATTTTTCAGCAAAAATATAAAATGAGAATTTTTCAGAAGAGGAAGACAATACCATTAACACACTGTAACATTAATTAGGCACTAATTGGAGTTGGGGCTGAATTGTAATTAAAAGGTTTTTTTTTTTTTTTAGTAATGTTAATTGGAAAAGCTTTAGTTTTGTTATAATAAATAAACATGGTACTCTAAATGCTGAATTTTATGCTCTCTGTTTCAACATTCTAACAAATTATGGTCTTCTGCAGTAAAATACTAAACTTATTTCAACAATTAGCATTCAAACAATGAGTTTATTTTCAGGCCAAGGGATTTTGATAGAGTTTTTATTTTTTTATGGGCTACTTGTTTCTTTTGGATATACTTTTCAAACTAAGATGTGAAACAAAATACATGGTGTGCTAGCAGGCATCCCTTGCTTAAGGCTTATGTTTCACATTACCCTCATGATCCAGCATTCATATGTTTTATAGGTATTTCAAGATATAATTCTCAAAAAGACCAGCTTCTTTCTGGAAGTAATCTCTTGGCACTTATGTTACAACAGATCTACTTTAAAATTCAGGAGCACATGTACATTGATCAGTACAGTAGTGTTAACTTAAAATATGTCCTTAATTTTAGAACCTGTTTATAAACCCAGTTTTTAAGCATCATAGCTAAATTAAACTTTTATCTCATTCATATCAAAGGGCTACACAGAGAAGAATGGGATAAAAGCCAATTGCTATGTTGAATTTGATTATTAATTCATACTGATCTAAATATGTAACTAGGGGTTTAGTTATTTTTAAGGAATAAACATAAAATGTCAAAAATTAGTAGTTTTGAGTTCTCAATACTTATGATAGAAATTTTTCTGTTATGTATGTAGACATATTGCTGGATGTCATGATGTTGTAATGAATATTAGCTATTTCTCCATTCGGAGTGAGTGATATAGGTATGCTCACATGACCTTTCTATTTGTATTCTATGTGGCATGAGGAAATGCATCTTATTAAATAATATAAGGTAAAATAGCATAAATAGAATCTAAAATGAATGAGTTATAAAGACCCTTTTCTCAACTTGCAATTGGTTTTCATAAGGCTAACTACATAAGAGAATTGATTACCTCACAGGTGTATTTTTCTGTATAAATAGTAGCATAATATTTAATTTGTTATTGTAATATGTGGGTATTCAAGTAGATATTCACAATGGCATTTCAGTGAGCATTAAGCCAACTGAAATAAAACCTATAAATCATTTTAGAAAAACATATACAGGAATATAAGCTTTATGGTTATAAAAAGGATGTAAGACTGTATCTTCCTTTTTTCCCCAATAGATTTTATTAATTATAATTTAATACACACAATGAACACTAGGATATAAAGCAGGTAGTTTAGTTTCAACACAGTTAAAAAATATTATCACTGCTTTTCTTCAAAGAAACCTACACATCTGTATATCTTTCTGTTTTTTCTCTGATGTAGAAAATAACAATACAGTGTGCTTTTGTGCTTTTCCATTAAGATGCATACAATTGATGTATGTCTTTAAATTTGTCATTTACTTTTAGAGTATACAATTTTTAACAAGGAGTGTAGAATTTTGAAAATGGTTAACCATTTGTGCTCACACCTGTTAATCTTATGTTTTCTATAACAGAATTATATAAAATACCATGCATTGTTCTTTTTTTGTATTTTCAATACAGATATGATTTCCCGACAGTTTTTTTTTCTTAATCTTGATTCCCACTATTTATCTTCAATGAAGTTTTAACTTTAACATAGAGATTTAAGTGGATGAGATGAAATATTGTTGTGCAACTATGCAGTTTTAGATTACCTTTAGTATCTTATAGGTATAGATCCAGAAATTTCTGCAAATGTCGAATGCTTTTAAAGAAACCCGAATTTGTTTTAATGTTTCTATAATATAATATCTTATTGTTAAAAAGTAACAGCTCTCTATCAAATATGTTAAAAGAGCTGTCTGAGATGGAATGTGGAGGGGTTTGTAAGCTGCTTAATGTGGGGAAAAAACTGTTCCATTTTTTCCACTTTGTATTTCCTTGGAGCCTACAGAGTATATATGTGTCCTGTCTGTGAGTGTGGCAGTCCTTGCTTTTTTCATAGAATTGCCTACAAGTAGTACTATAATTTTTTCAGCCTTGCATGCAGTTGCTTTACTGTCCACTTGACCTGAGCAGGGACAGCCAACCATGTAGCCATATATGGTTTACCTTGCTTTTCTGTGCAATAACACAGAAAAAATGGGAGCTTCATATTTTTTTTTAAATAGAGTTGACAGAAAATGTTAGTTGAATACAGGGTAACAACTTGTACTGGAAAGGTAGGAGCCCTGACACATTTGCCTCCTGTTACAAAGATCTAAAGAATTAGGGCAGAATTAGATAATCTTGTTAAGTGTGTGCAGCTGTAGTATTCCTTAATTCTTAGATAGTATTTTGTACATTAAAATATGTATGCATAAATATAGATCCGTACACACACACATATATATATATATATACTGTATGGTTTGCTAAATTGAAAATAAAAACAGACTTTGCAATGTAAGCTCATTCATTGGGTCAATGCTCTAAGATTTCTGTTAATCATTTACTGTCTTTAGGGTTTAAATCTCATTCCAGGTATTAGAATAGCTTGTTAAAAAAGAGTAAATGTGACATTATATACAAGAGTAACTTGAAAATGAAACTATTACATTTAAAATTCTTTCCACC